TTTTCCTGAACCCCGCTGAAATCCATTCCGAGCGAACTACGAGCGATGATGGAATCCCCATTGTAAAGGAACGGCAAAACGTAAGCCCACGGCGGTATCGAACCGACAATCTTCTGATTAGAAGTCAGACGCCTTATCCATTAGGCCACGCGGGCAATCGGTGGTAGTCGTTTCATTGCTTAATAAATTTTAAAGTTGCGTGTTTTTTGAGCAAATCTGCACTGTGTGAAAGTTGGCACAGCACCTCATGGCGGCGCATATCACCTCCGACAACTGTGAGTGGTAGCAAAAAGTCTGACCATGGCCGGAATCGAGCTAACAAACTTCTCAAGGCCTCAAGTGCTATGGAGCCCGAAAAAAACTGAAATGAAAATCTTCATCCCATTTGCGAAGCACAACTGCCCAATATTAGCTCAAGGGCGAGTGTGGATAGCAGATAACTCTATTTTAGAAACTCGTTCAAAAGGAATGCCTCATGCTGGAATCGAACCAGCGACCTTCTGTTTACAAGACAGACGCTCTGCCACTAATTGTAAGAAAATAAGGCAGTGGTGCCCCTTTCAAACTGCTCTCTGATTCCCTCCCGTAATGTACAGCTCTTCATTTTCGACTAAACAGAACTTTGGAACACTCACAGTGTTACTTAAACTTACTTGCTGCGCGCAAAAAGTCCCATGCTAAAATCAAACCGGAGACCTTCACTTCACCGGACTAACGCTCTGTCCATTATGTCATGAGGGGCTGTTAGTACCTTTCGGCCATGGATAAATTATCTCACAGCTTAATGCAATGAAAAATCTGCAGATGTTCCAATGATAAATATTTGTGCCCTGTGCCCCACTGGTTGGAAAAAAGTAAAGAAGTAAAGTAAAAAGTAAAGTAAAGTACGACCCGTACTGCAGCCGGACCACGGACCCCTTTTTGTAGGAGAAAAGCTCCGCCATGATGCCAAAACGTTTGCAATCAATCGTGATTCACTAAATGATTCACAATCGTAATTCACTAAAGAAAATCGCTTCGCACAGATTTATCACGCCAGGCGCGCAATAGTGTGCGCCAGTCAAACTGGTTATGGTTAATATTAGAGCAATGTGGGTGGTGCTCAGGTGCCGTATTTTTATTAAACCAGTTTCGGTACTCAACACAAAAAAAGAATGAGCACCGCACTCACGGGAACATTTTAGGTGCAAATTCGATTATACACTCATAATACCGCTCACTTTCACTCTCTTTCCCTAGAAGTAGGCGTAGCACTTGAACATGACATAGGATGGGTTATTCGTAGGATACTTCAATTCGGGGTAACCGCTATTTCGTTCTGTGTTGAACAAAGACATGTTACAACTAGCTCAGAATAAAAATGTCTCTCGAAAACCTTGGCCACCGCCACGTTCTATTCAAGTACGCGCCACGTTTACCGCATCTTAGGGTTTTGAGTGTATGTCTCCGGTATAAATTTGGGGGTGCCTGAAGTTGTTAAGCTGAACTAGCACATTATCATTCAGTCCCGGAAGATGGTTCTATCATTGACTAGTGAGGGGTTGTGAATCCACAACATGACTTTTTTTCAAGGAAACCCTCGCAATTGCAGCCAAATCCGAGATTTGTCTGGACTTGAAGTGTCAAAATGGGAACAAGGAATAGGAGGATTTAGGAAGAAATAGCATTTTCAATCTTTTTCCAACCAACCCATGTGGATGAGTGGCGGGCAGCGACGCTATTCCTCTGGCGGTGGCTGAATCAGATGAGGGGTCGCTCTGAGCAGCGCCAGGCAAGACCTTCTCTGAGCTAGGCAAGACTCTCCTTTGAGGAGCAACTGAAGATAAAGTATGATAAGTGGCTGTTATTAGCAAACCATTTCACAGGAAAGCAGGCGTCTAGATAGTGGAAAACTTTCGCAAGAAATGGATGGCATCAAAAACCGAACAATGTAAAGCTTTTCACCTATCCACACAGGATTTCCTCTTCTGCAAACCAAATCGCGAGCTCGACGATTTAGTCCAATTAGTTTTGCATAGCTGTAGTACCTAGGGCCATGGCTCGCTTGCTCCAGATCCACAACAGTTCATGGGTTCCACCAAAGTGAGACTTGTAAACCGGAACTAGTGAAGCATTGAAGTGGCAAAATGACCCCCCCCCCGTCACCGAGTTGTGCGTCATATTTTTGTTATTCCTGTGGATGAATTCTTTGCTGAAAAGACCATCTGGGCCGGGTAGACGTCGAAGGGTAGCAGTGGGATCACTGGAATAGCCGTCTGTAGACAAGGTACAGCATCGTTGTGCGAAACCCATGCGGGGGGTCGAACTTGGCCGCTGGGGAGGGGGCGGGGGGGCTCGTGATCCCAAGGGTCACTCAGATCCGGCAACATTTCAGCTGATAGTGTGAGTGGAGCTATGGAGGTCAAGATGTTGAAAAAATGAAAATTATCATGAGTCTATTCTTTACAGATTCAACTGCTTCATTTAACAGCCCTCTTTTCATGCGAAATCCCCAAAAATGGGTTCGTACTTGGCTGCAGGGGACTTGGGGAGTATAGCAAATGTAGGCTCGCTAGGCATCAAACAAAACAAGAGTGTCATTGCTAAGTTTGATAGAACGGACGGAAAGCTTCAGAAGACCCGGATATAAGGAGGATTACAGAAAAAAGTAAAAAATTGGTTAGCAGTACAGCAAGAATAGCAAGAATAAATAAATAACTAAGTGAATTAATAGCATGTACGTAGATGACTAAATAATTACGTCTCAAACAGATCCGTGCGTATTGTCCCTTCCAAAAAAAATCATCTGCTTGCATGGAAAAAAGCACCTGAAATCAGAACTTACACCTTTCCACCACCTCTGCGTAATAGCGCAATGCACGGCGCACACTCGGACCAAATCGATAAGTGATAGCCTCTTTCACTCATTTGAAGGGAAATATGTGTTTTGAAGGCACACTGAAATTTCGGAAAGTGTGTCCTCACAATAGCACAGAAGGTGGATTTTTCGGGTGGGCGGGAGGGTAGCGCGTCTGTGACCCATCCAAAATATCTCCTGTACTAGCGGGTCTTCAGAGGAACTGTAAGGCTTATTGGAAAGAGAAAATATGGGGCGGTTTCAAGGCGATTTTTATCCTGATGAAATTGCGTTCGGAATAAGTAATCCTCGTGTGAAGCATAAAACCGGCTTGCCATTTCCCCCTAGCCGATCCAAAACCCATCCGAGATATTTCACGAACGGAGGAACATTCATATTACAACTGGGTACAAAACGCAACAGTAGGAACATTTCCGTTGCATGCTGCTAACCATTCATCAAGAGCCATGCCCTCAAAGATATAGAACCCCCCGAAAAGACCCCCGGACGTTGGCACGCCCAACAACCGCGCTCTAATGATGTTTTTCCGATGAAAGCAGTCGCAACGTTGCGGTTGGTAATAGCCAAGTATAGAACGATGTACTGCCGCCCGGTTCTCCTTTTTTTCATTTGGCTCGCATTTTTTGTATTTTTCATGTTTCGCTTTGTTGTGTCGTGCATGTTTTCATAACTTCCCCGTCACCATTCATCAAATGCACATCTGGGGCCTGGCAAACTGACCTTGGGGCTATTTTTTCACCGATTTAGCTTATCAATGACCACCATTAGTCGCTGTTTTGATTGCATTCCTTGTTACAAGTTGCATATCATACATGGTTGTCGAACGACGTTTGTTATGTTTCATCCTAAGGTAAAATTGTAGGCAATGCGAGCCTGTTGTTCGGCCTCATATCGCATGAGGCTGAACAACAGCCTCGCATTGCCTACAATTAGCCTATTGTTGCGTGGATAACAGAGTCTGCCTTTCGAAAATACAAAATCCATTTCAGGAAGCCATTTGGTGTGAACATGCATCTGGTTGTCATTAGAACAGGAGACAGGAGGGGTGGGTTCGCAACTGGACCTTATTCGAGGGGGGGGGGTCGTACTCACACCTCCATTTCGCACATCCCCATGCTGTACATTGTCTGTAGAAAGCTAGTGTTGCTAGAACCTGGTGCAGGGGATGGTCTTTGTGCCCTAGCTGTCTAGACGGAAGCCGGTTTTGTATTTGTAGCACAAGCAGAGTGTTTTATTGATATTATGCTATACTGCATCGACCAATAACATCCCTTATGAGCGCGAAAGCTGCAGATCAATTCAACAAGCTCAGGCAGCAGAACCTCATGAAATTGGATATGTTTTCAGGTGAAGCAGCGTTTTGTATTAGTAGCTGCCCGCGTGAGCAAATATTAGGTTGTCCGGAAAGTTCTCCAGCGTTTTGGGTGTTTCACTTTAAACGATCGTTAATTTTTTGATACTCATCGGATTCAATCGAAATAGGACCAATTCGGATCAGCACACTTTTGCCAGTGTAACAGCAGTCGAGAAATCCTGTCCAAAGAAAAAAAACTGGGTGGTCGAGAAATCACGAACTACGAATTTCTTTTTTGCCTGGTCCTATTTTCCAGCAAAGAGTTCTGAAAATCTAGAAAAGGTGATAGTCGGTTGGCGAACAAGGTTGAAGAATATGGCGTTGAGTAGAACTTCACCAACTCGTTCAATCATAATAGTGATTTGTGAACATGGTGGTGGGCGTTGTCATGCCAAAAAAATCGACCCCTTTCTTTTGATAAGTGTTGGCTGCATCTGACAAAATCGTAGAATTCGTCGACTTCTTCAAGAGGTTCGCTGTGATGGTTTGGCTTGGTGACAAAATGTTATAGTGGATCATTCCAGCCGATGACCACCAAGCCGTGACCAGAATCTTTTCGTGAGGGTTCGGCTTTTAAAATTACCCTCGTGTGTTCGTCGAATTTCAACCACTGCTCCGGAAACGTCTCCTGTTATCATACATGACCCATTTTTCATCACAGCTGACAATTCGGTCCAAAAACGAGGTCGCTTCAGCTGCGCAAAAAGCAATGCAGAAGGACCTCGAGACGTGGCCGATTCTTGCCGGTCACTCCGATTGTGGGGACCCAGTTGTCGAGTTTTTTTCTTCCCAATGCGTTCCATCTGCAACAGTGGATTTGTCAAGGCTAGCTCTTCTGCTATCTCTCGAAACTGTTTGGATGGGTCCAACCTTCAAATCCACCCTAAAATCCTCGTCAGATATGTGCTTTAGGTCGACGCTATGAGGCTCACCATCAAGGCTGAAATTTCCAGAACGACGTTTGTTAAGCCATTGCCGACAGTGCTTTCTCAAGCACTATTGGTCCCCCACACCTGTTACAGGCACAGCATTCGATGGGATTTGGTCGAGCTTTACGACCCCCCCCCCTTTTTTCAGGGGCTGGTACTACCCCCCCCGTCCGAAACGTCCGCAAGGAGAGAAAAATCACTAGAAAAAATAAATTTTTCCCAACCCAAGTACGACCCCCCCCTTTTTGAGGCCACATACGACCCCCCCCCATAGGGATCCCCAACAATGCTGTGCCCTGCCTGTTTAATTTGTTGACCTGTTTCGATTGCGGCATTGCCCCAATTCATAGTCGAAGAAAAAAATCGTCCGGAGTGCTCTTTTCACATGCTTGGAAAAAAACTTGAAA